GAAGAAGTTCGGTATACAACGGGGTCACGGAGGGGTTCAAATTGTACATAAATTCTGATGTATCTGCTTGCAAATTTGTGAACATAAGTGTTTCTGCCGCCTCAAAGAGCCCATAGGCTGGACCAATCATGCCTCCTTCGACGAGGTAGAATAGATTCTTCACTCCTTCAGAAAGTGACAATTTCCCATGGAACTGTTTCCTTGAAGGACACAACCTTAATATTATGGGGCTCGAAAGTAGGCCAATCAATCCATCAATCCATCAATCAATCAATCAATCAATTAACCTGTCTATCTACCAATTAATCAATGGATCAATCAATTCAATTGACGAATTAGCCCATCTCATCTGTCCGGCTGTGTCAGATCGTGCGTACGTCGGTCCGTCCGTCTGTTCGTCCATAGGTCCATCCATTCCTCCCTCCCTCCCCCTCTCCCTCCCTCCCTCCATCCATCCATTCATCCATCCATCAATCCATTCGTCTGTACGTCTGTCCATCCGCCATCTCTCCCTCCCTCCCACCATCCATCCATCCATCCATATCAAATCAGATCAAATCAGATTAAATCAATCCACCCATCAAATCAAATACATCAATCGATCAAATCAGCAATCAAGCAAAATCCATCACATCAACTCAATCCTCCACTTAGATCTCTCTGAGCAGAATCGATCTTTTGTAATACGCGCTAACTCAAGGCGGGAGAAAGAAAAGGTCGTAGGCTCGCTAGCTATAGAAAAATTAATCAGTACAATGGTTCCCGTTCGCCCGTCTCCTACTCTTACACATCTTCCAATTCCCGTCGTTCCACTCCTCTTCCTCCTCCTCCTCCTCCTCCTCCTCCTCCTCCCCGTCTCATAATCTTCCCCTCCGCCCCCCCCAAATCACCAATCATCACCAATCACCACCAATCATAACCAATCATCGCCAACCATCATCAATCAGCAGCTCCATCATCTTCATCTTCAGACAGTTTTTCTTCTGAATTTCCAAAGTCCGACCAGATCGGGTTCTGCCGATGTTCGTTTGGATGCGGAAGAGCGAAGCGGAGTACAGGTCACGGCACAGGACAGGTCAGCGGATCGAGGCCAATCACACTCACTAAGGTGCTTGCCGATGACGGCCAGTTTTTCTCAGCAGGCCGATCTCAGCGGATCGAGACTAATCACACTCTCTTATCGCTCTTCATCCTTCTCGCTCCGGTTCAGCCGTATGTCGGACTTCCTTCTCTTTCCCCTTCTCCTCCTCGTCTTCCTCCTCCACCACCTCCTCCTCCTCCTCCTCCTCATTATCATCATCACCACCACCAATGATGGCGACAAGGAGGTGATGATGAGGATGACAAGGAGGTGATGATAATGATGACCAGGAGGAGGAGACTAAGGCGATTTCGTATCCTTACTTTCTTGATGCCTCATATACATCATCAGCATCAGCATCAGCATTATCAGCATCAGCATCATCATCATCATCATCATCATCATCGTCGTCGTCATCGTCGTCTTCATCGCACCCCCTTCTTGTAATCATACACCTCTTCATCACGATCATCATCTTCCTCGCCCTCATCATCATCGTCTTCCTTCTCCTCCTCCTCCTCCTGATCTTCCTGCCCCACCTCCTGCCCCCAATCCTCCTCCTGCTGCTCCTCCTAAACATGCGGTGAAAATAGTATCGTCTGATCATTTTCATCTTTGGGTTCTCTTTCAACTTCAGATATCAACAACTGTTCCCTCTGCAAGAAGCCAAAAATCATCTTTGGCATTTCTAAATTTCGAACAAGTTCGTCAGAATTTCGTAACTCTATTCGGTTGAAGAACAAGATGGGGGAAACCGGGACGGGGGGGGGGGGGCCGGGGGGGGGGGGGGAGAGGAGGGTTGACGGCTTCCCGTTGATGCGGAGGTCGTCGGAAAACTTGAGCGGGGGGGGCTTGCCGTTGCCGCCTTGGGGGGGGGGGGGGGGGGGGGGAAGGGGGGCGGGGGAAAGAGGGGAAGGGGGACGGAGGAAAGGGGGGCGGGCAGGGAACAGAACGAAAAAAAAAGACGCTTTGTTCCTTCCTCATCATGCTCTCCCTCCTCCTTTTTCATCGTCACATATTCCTTCTCCTCCTCCTACTCCTGCTCGATATCGTTTTCCCCTCTTCTTTTTCACTAACCCCAACACTGTACAGTGATGCTTGAATTTCCCGCCGCACATGAACGCAGGAGGGAAAGAAGAGGGAAGGCCAAGAGGGGGGGGAGGAGGGGGGGGGAGCTGGAG